TCGTTTGAACTACTCGGACGTTTGCTTTAACAGCTCATCCCCTATTTGAACTAGTTGGAAGACTGATCCCGATGAGTTATTGAAAGTTGGACAGCTTGGATGGACCCAAGATGGTGTTGCCCAACGGATGTAAGGTGCTCGGGGACTAGCTATGGGGGTATGACCCCCAGTACCCATAACGATCCACATGGGCCAAGCCGCTAGGGGAGGCCCAGCCCACAAGACTATGCATGGGTCATGCCATAGGTTGAGGCCTAGCTTGCAAAACAACGCCAAGCGAAGTATGCCAAAGGACGACGTGCTTCACAAGGCAACATAAATATTCTCGGTGATCTACGAAATCTGCTCGGATATGATAGATATTGTATGATCTATAACTTCCTATCTTGTAAACCAATCAGAATGGAAATAACCGATCTATAACCCTACCCCCAAGCTATATAAGGCAGGTAGGGACCCCCTCATTTTCACCTAATCATACGCAATACAATCCAAAAAGACACAGGATGTAGGGTATTACATCGAGCTGACGTCCTAAACCTGTCTAAATCACTGTCTCTTGCTGTCGACAGAATATCATCGGCAGTCCACCGAGGGGTTTCCCGCGATGGTAGATTGATCAGTAGAGGAGCGTGTGATCAAGAACAAGAAGGCAACAGAGACACACGAGTTATACAGGTTCAGGCCGTCAGTATGACGTAATACCTTACTCCTGTGGTCTGTTGGTTTGTATTAGCTATCGTATGACTTGCCGTGAATTCGTAGGGGGTCCCTGCCCGCCTTATATAGTCTGGGGGGCAAGGTTACAAGTCGGTTAGATCCGAGAGATAACCGGAAAGTAATAACAGATTACAAGAAACATGGGATCGTACGTATCCTATCAGATCTCGTAACATCTTCAGGATATCCTCTCTGTGCCTTGCGGGGGTCGCCGAGCAGAACCGTGCCCCGCAAGGCTCCTTCTTGTGGGCTGGGCCGCCCCTGGAGGCAAAGCCCATGTGACCTGCCGTGGGTATCCGGGGGCGTACCCCCCACAGCTAGTCCCCGAGCGCCTTGTACCCGTTGCGCAACACCGTCTTGAGGCTTTTCGAGCAGGTGCGAACCAAAACCGAGCTGTCCAAATCATGGTCCGACCACCATATGGAGTCGCCGAGCAGTTGTGAGCAGCTGCCGAGCAGCGTACAACATCGCCGAGTAGTGTGCTCTGAGGACAGCTTGTCATAAGGGTGTAAGGAGCTCAAGTCCAAAATTAAAAATTCCTGCATGGTAAAGGGAAGTGTGCCCACTTAGAATCCGAACACGAAAGTAAAGATATCTGGTTTTATCTTTTAGAGGCTCGGAGTCTTCCAGAAAAACAAACACATTCACTGCAAGGTGAAGTGTGCCCACTTAGTCCCCGAGCCTGACAGTAGGTGACGTAGTCACGTGGTGCCAGGCTCAGAAATTAGCAAACCATCCGAGCAGGCAGCCAGTCCCCGTGTTTCTGGCGTTGATATTGGATAAATCAAACCGCGGTGAGAAATTCGGAGTAATGGCTGTACAGTATCAGTTACTAAGCCTCATTAAAATGTGGAGAATTCGGAGAATAAGTGGCGGCGATAAATGAGCGGCGTGGGCTACTGTGACGCGATAGCCCAAGTTGTGGCCCATTAAACCATTTTGGAGGAGTCAAAGTAGCGCTGATCGCGGGAACGGTTTCCCAAAAACCCTCAGAGTCAAGGGAGAGTGGGGAAAGTGCTTTATAACCGCGCCGCCACACACATCGCCTCCTACCTCTGTCAAGCCACCCTGCTTCCTGCCTTCGCAATCCCTGTGCTTCACATTCCACACCAATCACGAGCATTCGCCTCCAACCCTAGGACCAATCCATAGGAAATGGCACCGAAAAAAGGAGCCGCAAAGCCGAAGAAAGTGGCCACCGGAGCCAGCCGCGACGAGGAGTGGGTGCCGTCGATGACGTCGGCGGTGGATCTCGATAAGATGGTGGCGGCGGGCGTTCTCCCAGACCGTCTCACTGCTGGATGGCGGCCAGCTAGTGGTGAGCCCTTCCCGACACCACATACTGATGAGGCTGTAGTATTTGAGGATTATTTCTGGCGAGGATTAGGGTTTCGTGTCCACCCCTTTCTGAGGGATCTTACGGAGTTTTGGGTGATTAGCCTCTGTAATCTGCACCCCAACACCATTCTGCATGTTTCTATCTTTATCCATTTCTGCGAGGCGTTTCTCGATGTTCTTCCGCACTTCAACCTCTTCAGGCACCTGTTCTGTCTGAAGAAGAAAGGGGGTAGCGGTTCCAAGGTGGTCGGCGGCGTTTACCTACAACTCAGGGATGGGATGGCCAGCGAATATATCAGCGTTCCACTAAATACCTCCCTCAAAGGTTGGAATGCCAGATGGTTCTATATCAAACAAAGTCACCCAATGATTCGATGCAACGTCCACCACATCCTGGTTAATCATATTAACTGGTCGAAGAGACCCAACAATGCTAAGATGGAGCAGGTAATGGAACTGCTGGACTTGATTAAGGGCGTTGAGCTTCGGGGTGAACTGGTGGCGGCTAGCTTTATAGTGCTTGAAGAGGTCCTTCAGCCTTGCAAAGAGAGGGCCCACCCGGCATTTGATTATAAAGGTGACAACGATGGTACCCAGGAAAACACAGACCGTCTGACGAAGAAGGAAGTGATAGACCGTGCCATGGATCTATTTACTTCGAATGTGTCATTCAGCTGGCCAAAAGGAACAAAGGCTTTCAACTGCACCAATCCACCTCCTCAGGTAACCAGTTCGCTTCACGTCTATCAGGCATTAATTGCCGAGCATAGGACTGACTTATGAAAAGATCCATTCGCAGGATAGGGCAATATACTTTTCAGGCGTGCCGAGAGCCGATTGGCCGAAAGGAGTAGATCCTCGGTGGCCACTGCAGCCCGAAGAGGATGAGCCGAGCTCCTCATCGGATAGTCCATCCCCAGTGTCAGAGAAGGTCCGCGGGAAAAGACCGGCAGTAGACGAGTCGGTCCAAAAAAGGAGAAAAACCGCCAGCTGTTATGCACACAAACCAGGCGGCATCTCTCTAGGAGAGGACCGAGCAGTTCGGCCACGACGAACGGCTGTGCTGGAGTGGTCGGACAATGACGAGGACTAGTCGGCGCTTCCGCCGAGCACGACGGAGGCACCGGCGGATGCTGACGCTCCAAAGCATCAATCACGGGAAAGTTATGGTCGGGCAACGGCGGACGTCCCGGTGATGCAAACTACCGAAGTCCCCGAACAATGCACAGAAGGGGGTGCCCCTGGGCACCAAGAAGAGCGGCCGCCCGCTGCAGAGGCGCAGGAGTCCTCCCATAAAGCCGACCAAGCAGCCGCGCCTGGGGGGTCAGGCAGGCATCGCCGATTCAAGAAAATCAATCGGAAGACCAAACCGTAAGTACATTTGCCTTGGAGTAATAATATTGTTCCTTGATTTCTCCTTGTTACTGAGAAGCCGATAGTTACGTCGTAAGAAAAACGACGATCGCCTCCCGCTCGGGAGTCCCCTAGTGCTCCGTGACCTCGATCATGGATGTTGTTGATGCGCCGGAGGTCATGCTGATGCGCGACTCCGCTAACGGCCGAGGAGCAACGCTGC